TGCGGTTGGAAGGTGCGCTTGTTTACTGTCACGATTGTCAATCTTGCATCGAACCAACCCTCCTAACGCCCAAGTTTTAATCATAGAGAAAAGGCGCCAGTTCGTGCCGAGGTGGGTCTCAAGACTGAGGAGCTGATTTGTTACCGGCTGACAGGCACAGGGGGAATGCGGAGACGGAGCCACAGCCCCATGCTGAGTTGTGTCAGCAGCTATGCCAGGCTGACGCCAACCACTGTCAGAATGGGTATCGATAAGCAGGAAAAAAAAATGAATGGCTGTGCCCAGGTGTCATCGAATGACATAATACCGTACGCATAACTCACTTGGCCGATCGTGGCGGTGCACACACACACCAATCACATGAGCGTGGAAACAGCCGCACTCCCTCCCCGAACGCACAGCTCCTGAGAGCCATATTCGAGAGTTACACAGCAGACACCTTCATGACCACGCTTGGGGTGGCAGACGCACTCCAGCGCAGAAACTCTTGACTGGATTTATTTTTCAGGGGTTTTCAGCGCCGAAGATTGCCTTTCCCTCGAGGCTGGAGCAATGTTGGCGTGTGTCAAGTTGAGTCAACATCGCCATAAGTTCTCAGATCGTGCCTTGTTGTGGTCCATTCTGTATATCTATTTTTCCCGTATTACTTTCTCCATTGCCTATACACCGCAGTCGAGGTAAGTACTATTCCATTGCTCCCAGGTGCCGATGTTGACTCGTTACCAAAGATGGGGCCAGGCATATACAATCACGTCTGAAAGACTCATAATACACGGAGGGAAAGTCGATCCACTCAATGAATACTCCTACTTCTCCGCGCCCAACACAGACGAATTGATTTCGCTAGACTTAACTTCGTCCTTTAATGTTGCCAATCCGCCATGGCAGCTTCTGGCGGGCGGTGGCCTCCCGGGCTCGCCACTCGGTTCACCTGCTCTATCATTTCACACTCTTACCCCTCTAGATGACCAAAACTTCCTTGGCTTCGGTGGCGATGGGGGTCCAAGCATGCTTAGCGCTACAAAACCCGATTCAGCTTGGATCCTAACAGACCCTTCATTCCCCAATTTCCAGCGTCAGTACGAAGGGTGGGCAAACCAGCCTATACGACACATTCATCATACCTCAACAAATGTTAAAGGCGCCGTGTGGATCGTCGGTGGTACGAAAGCGGACGGCTCCGGTATTAATTTCAACTCCACATACCTCTTCATTCCTTCCACTGCTTCCTCCCCTCAACCACACTTCGATGACCTTGGTGGAAGTTCCCCGCAGTTAGAAGGCCATGGCACTGTTCTATTATCCAACGGCACTCTCCTCGTGTTTGGTGGTTATGCACGGGAACAGTACCAGATGGTCCCACTTAATATGATATGGACTGTCGATACGACCAATACGGGTCCGCCGCAATGGTCCAGCCAACAGTTTTCTAGTTCTTTCCTTCCATCTCCTCGGCTCGATTTCGCTTATTCACTTTTGGATGATGAAAGACTCCTCATCCATGGCGGTACATCTGACCCTTCGAGACAAACTGTCCTTGGTGATGCGGCGATTCTGAACTTGAGTACTCTGACTTGGACGGATGCGCCAGGCCTAGCGAATTTTCTTGGCCCGCGAGCTGGTCACTTTGCTGTGACTTTGGGACATGGCCAGACATTTTTCGGTTTCGGTGCGTGACACCTATCACATACCGCTATACACCATCGTTGAACGCGCTTTTCCCTAGGATACGGGCCGAGAGGGCCAACGCCTTCTGGTCTTATTCTCTATGATGCTAACTCCGGCTCGAGCATGACTACTTATTCGCCAGGACCAGTTCCGACTCACACCCGTACTGATTTTCCTCAACCTTCCCGAACATCCCCAAGCTCTATAACAAACCCATCACCCAAACATGTTTTCACCTCAACGTCCGGCTCTGTGGTCTTAACCTGCACGTCGAGCTGTTCTAATGGTACGAGCACAGGGAATGGTGTAGAGGCGGCCAGACACGACAGGAGGATCATTGCAATCACGCTTGGCTCCATTTTTGGTGTATGCGCTTTTGTGGCAGCCTCGCTCGGTGGAACTTGTGTTTACCTACGTCGGAACCCATCCGTATGGCGGAAGGATGGAGGCGATGGTGATCTTTTTTGGGAGATTGTTCCTCGTCCACTGTATCGTGATGAGGAGGACGGCGATGGGGGACCCAGAGGCCAGCTTGCCGCAGGTAGAGCTCCGACTGGGGCAGAAATCGCTACCACAGGAAATACCCTAGCCGGGGATTCTACTCATCGCCCGGCTCTCCTTGATGACGATGAGCATGAAGGTGACCAGCAACCTGTCGATTCGCCGACCAGTCTACAAGACGGGATGAGGCGTCTTCCAATGGCTTCTGTTTCAGGTGGCTGGGACAGGAGAAGCAGAAGGAAGAGTGTTGCATGGGCTGTGCTCAGTCTCGGGCGTCCTCAGGCCTCTCACTCTAACGGACGGAGCGATCAGCGATTTGATATGCTTGCAGACGAGGATGAACGCGTGTTCAATGATCCAGAGATATACCCCGTCGGTGTCCAACGTAACGGCAGTGGTGCGTCAGGCATGTCTGGGAGCCCTCCTGGCCGTCGAACTGCGTCTGGTAGAACATGGACCTCAGTTGTTGGAGAAAGCATTGCGGACGGTATCAAGTCTGCAGGTGCAGCGATGCAAAGGGCAGTAAGCGGGACTGCAGGTCCATCGGGGTCAGGCCGGGACAGTCGGGACTGGTTTGAAAAGGATATGGAGTACGTCGAAACCCAAACCCAGCTACTAGATGAAAACGGCCGCCCGAGTGATGGACATGCTATTGATGAAATTGCAAGTCCCTACCAACCGGGAGTGTCCAGGCATCTGGGAGATGGACTTACTTCTCATACATTGCGATCTGAGTCCTCGTCACGCTACCGTGACCCCTTCGCTGATCCAATTGAAAACGATCCAATTCACCCACCTGGCCAGTATTCTTCCCCGTCGGCGCACCAGGAAGAAGACGAGTTTTCTTCAAAACTCGCACAAGCTCGTCTGGTTACGCATAGTTCCCCCCCTCGGGTCGACCTGCCTGAGTTATCCCTTACACTCACTGTCTCCCGATCTGACCAATCCCACTCTACTGCCTCATCTTCGAATCCGTCTTCCGGACTCTCCCGCTTCCCTCGAAGCGGGGATACTCATACAAGTGTCATGTCCGGGGCCCCGTTGCAACCATTGAAGCGATCGGATTCTTGGTGGGCTCGTTTCAGTCGAACGTCGTTGCGAACTGGGTTATTAAGTTCTAGTTCCCATGGGGAATCTGACACGAAGCCGCCTGCTACCCGTCCACGTCGGTTGAGTTTTGGGCTTCTTTCAAGTGGAACTCCGCCTGCAGCGGATAATCGCTTCTCAATTGACTTCCGGGATCCAAAACCGCCTCCAAAGTTGCAGGCCATAGAGGAGGTGGCTAACTCTCCAGATGGGTCACCTGGAGGCCACTTGTCAAGAGAGAACAATCGGCGGTCCTACCGGGGTATTGGCGCCCAGCTTAGCAATATATCGGATGCCCCCAAACCCAGGAAGTCAGGATCTCTATCCTCACAGCTCACTGCAAGCAGCGAGATGCTGGAGCGTTTGGGTGGCAATATGCACATTATACAACGGATGCATACCGCGAGCACGATTCGCACACCCACTCCATTGGGATCTGTCTCGTCAGCTCGACAACGTGAGGCAGTTGTTGACAACGTCACTGACTTGGGGGAAATTGTATCATCACCCACAGAATGGACCCCAACGAACGTGCATTCTCCACCACCGCGCGCAATGATTGGTCCTCGACCAAAACCAACCACGTCATCTCAACGCATTTCTTTACGAAAAATTCCAACACATAGGGTCGCTAATCGTGTGGCGGAGTTCGAACGGCTTGCAACCATGAACGCGTCCATCGACGCAACTCATGGTGGACCCGGACTACCTCCCGACGCAGGTGCAGAGGAAATTGAGCGGCGCCCTACCTTGAGCCCAACAATCGCGTCAACGACTAGCGTCAAGTGGGGTTTATCCGAAAAGCCTGCCTTGTTCCTGGCCAATCCCGATCAGCGCAAGAGAAGTAGTGGGGATACAAACGGATGATGATCTAACGAATGCCATCTTTGTACCCCTTTTTTTTTTCTTTTTGTTTCGGTTAATGTTGCGGATTTTTATTTAAGTTGACGTAGAGGACTCTATTTCACGGACGGAATTCGCTGTCATTTGTTGTTCTCATGCTTCGATACCATTGCTTTCACTCCGGGACTTTACTGTACCAGGTCTTAAGGTCCTCATCGCCCGGTGTATCCGTAAATACGTTATGCAATACTCATGATCCATTGGAATTTTGTAAGTGTCATGTAGAGGAGCCCTCTGAGCAACGTCATTCCTATCTGAATCATGTAAGCTTAGGCAAAAACTGATGATTTTTGTGAACGTCCAGCTGTGCGTATTTATATACAAAGTGAAATATATTGCGGAACGGTTCCTTGTGTGTGGTAACTCCTGTACAACTGCATTTCCTCCGACTCCGGTTACAATGTACGTCTGGAGAGGTGTGCACGTGTGTCCGGTACCCATGAGATGGTGATGATGTGTGGAAGTTCAGCGCTGACATGTTTGCTCAGCCGACATGAGGACTAGGGTCGAGAGCTGGCTGGATAGCTGTCGCCGTCTCGTCATTCAACGGGCCGGGAGTGGAGAATGGGCGCTAACTCGACTATAATCAATACCCATTCACGTCTGATCGGACAGATCCTTTCGAAAAGGCTTGTTTGTTTGTTTTCTTTTTACGTGGATAGCCAGCTGCGGACAGTGCCGCGCCATTTACTGATTTAGCAAAGGATAGAGGGTTCCGGATTCAATTCAACGGGTCCCGGGATAGCCGCACTGCCACGCACAAACGCGGCCACAGGGCAACAAAATAGAGCACAACAACCTCCTTAGCGAGATTTCCTTTTCCATCAATCCCCACATCATTCATCAGTTTGAATTGACAGCGTTTCTTTCTGATTCGACACGTTGAACACTACTAGCAGCTCCAACTTTACCGAGCAACTTCCCCGGGAAGTGGTACTACCTATGTTGTTTTGTAGGTATCATTCTGGGTTGGAAGTCCTTTATAATGCAAAAATTAAGCACCATTTTGATCTTTACTTCGGCCCCATTCCCAATGAACTCCATGAACTTTCTCTGGTTGAAGAAGCACTGATTGCTCGACGGCGTGCCAAAACAAGGATCATACATCTGCAAGACAACGTCTCACACCACAGGACCCACCTCTTCATCCACGCTTCCTACTGCTCAAAGAGCCCTCAAGGGTCACGTCATAGTATTTCCTGCTCAACCAGACGCCCAATACAGTGATGCGTATTACGTTCCATTTTGCACACTTTCAGATCGGGATGCCTGTGTTCACGGTGTGTGTCCAAGCCAAGAATGTGGGCACTTGTCTCTGATCAACCTTCGAATGAAATAGATGGCACCCCATTGTTTTCTTTTGAATCAAATGTAGTTCGGAAGTATGTACACATAGCTACACAGCGTGATTTCTGAGAAGCGGAATGTAAACAATGCGGAGATTGCTTATGTAACTTTCAAAATCGCCAGGCGGCGTCCACCAGTTATTTTATGTAGTTATGTCCTTAGCGTAATATCCATTGTAATCAGGGCCAAATTTGTCACGGTCAATACATTGTGGTTTTAGTGCCTACAACGTTATATAGAACGCATAAAACCGTATGGGCGCTTGGTATTGAAGTTAATGAACTAGCGGCGTATAAGCACTAGGAAAAATGTGTACGATGTTAGGCTACGTCCTGAGTGATGAAAGGCAATCTCACCTCAGTTCCAAAGACGTGAACTGAGGAGAGAGGAAAGAAAAGAATCGCGCGAGGTGGCTTTGAAGCCATCCTCGACTGCGTTCATCAACATGGATACTAAAAGTAGAAGCATCGGGCAATCCTTCATGGAAATGCCCGTGCGCAAAAAGTATGGTCCGACGACAGCCGTTAAAGAGAGGCTGGTCACCTGCCTAGGTCCACAGCGTACCAAGAAACAAGAAATTTCGACACTTGGGTCGCTGCTGAGATTTGTGCTCATTGAGTTGTACATTGTGACAGCGAGGTCCTTGGCTGCAGGTTCGAGGTGCTTGCTGGTGTGTAGTGGTGAACGTGGTTTCCTAACTTGTCAATCACACGAGTCATCCCCTTTAAATAAAATTAGATCCGTTGAGGGCGTCTAAAACGAATTAATTGTAACAATGGATTTTAGGACTGGTGTTGAACGCGTGTGCCAGGACAACCACTGCAGTGACAAGAAATGCGGACGTCTCAGCCACCAGGTCAGGGCTGGCTTTGCTTTGGGGGATTCAGCGTCAATTATTTTTTCTGTCTACGCGGGTCTGGGGCTCGGAAGCAAGTTGAATCAAGCTGTCCCTTTCACCTCGCCCACGTCCACGTCCACGTCGGACTTCGTACTTGTAGTAAAGTGCCGACAGCTAGGCGCAACCTACACAAACCGCACATGGTATTTTCTCTCCTAACAACGTCCCTCCTCTCAACCAGGGCCAATCAGCTGGTGTGCACTCTGACATTCCCGAGGGTTTCTGCGCAGGACGAGAACCACGGCGGTTCTCAACCCTGAGGTTTCACTCCCATCCCCTACATCTGTTTGTCACTACTTGTTCTCCTTAGCCATCTGCGAATTCGAGGTACCTGCATGTGGTTTCGTGGGCATCTTTCGCTTCGTCACTTTGATCTAAAGCTCGGACTTGGTACTGAACTGAGAGCGACCATGATCAATGGTGTGTGCATATGCGGGCATCGAATGGAGGTGACCTTTTTCAGCACCTAAGGCCGGGTGCACGTCGTTCACTTTTCGTGAATACCTTCACTGGATAGTTATCGAATCTGGGGAGAATTGTGCTCACAACCGGAATGCGAACTCCGTCCTGAAGTTGGGCGGGCTAAACCGGTTGGAGAACTCAATAGGGCTTGCCTGGCCCCCCGAGATTCCCCAGCAGGCATTGCGGAGTTTGCCGGAGATGTATCTCACCAACAATCCAAACGCGCGCCAATTCGTGCGTGGCTGTGGTACCAATTCTTCAGCTTTATTGTGGCATCCATTTATGGGATCATAATTTGTCTGCCATTCTAAGATCCAAATGATCACAACATCCACTCCCCATAAACACCATTACATTTCCACTGCCTGAGAGTATCCAACTGTCACTGGAGACAACACTCTCCACTATTACTTTCTAGCTTCTGCGAAACCCTTCAAATGCCTCCCAAGCCGCTTGCTGGATGTTTTCAGTGCAGGGTGAGCAAAAAATGTGAGATTCCCTGCCTGCATGCCACACCACCGCTCGATTCTCAGTATATCGCGTGTAGTGTGCCCAATGACTGCACAGGATGGAGTATGTGGCAATTGTCGTGTGAAAGGTTGGCAATGCCAAGGATATGGCGAGGCGGTACCAGGATGGACTAAGGCATGTTGCTGGGCGCATGTTTGGTTGGCTAAAACACTAATTCTTTTGGCCTGGACTAGGACCGAGCGTTCATAAACCAGGTCAGGGAGACACTGATGAACCCGGCTGACCCTCTACCTGCACTTGCCGGAACTAGTGGGGGGGCAGCCAGTGCGTGTGAGGCTTCCTGTGTCTCTGGGTTTCGATACATCCTTGACCCCATTAACTAGTGGTGACCGGTACCCTTCCTCCCTGTGCATATGAAGGGGGCTCCAGTGGACGTCGACACCGGGTCATGCCCGTTAGTGATCAAGTCTTTCACCAGCAAACGGCCCCTTCCAGCGTTCAGCAGGGCTCCTTGCCCAGTATTGATCCGAACACGGTTGAAAACGCCGCTCTTCGTCTTCACCTCCACCGATCCCTCTCTATCCTTTGTCCTCAACATCAGCCCACAACGGAAGAAATTACATCAGTAATTCTTCTTCTTCAACACATGGGCTGGAGCAAGTTCCCACAGTAACAACGGTCAGATCCATCTACTTCGCTGCGCATGCAACATCCCCAGCGTGTAGATCTTGATGTTCTCTCAACTTCGGGTTGGTTGCATTTCTCCTAGACGCCCGCTCCCCTGTACTCATCATATGTACCGGATACATCGATCTTGTTTCTCATTGATACTGTTTTCCTTCTGGGCTGGAGGACGACACACGCTGAAATACATGCGGGAAATGTCATGTGGTTGGATCAGCGATACCACACCTCAGTAATGATGCTATCGGATGTTCTCCTGGACATATTGGGCTCGCTTGTTTTGGCACGGACACCGTTGCCCGTTGTGCCGCTCCAGCGAGCAATGCAGGGGCATGGTTTCATCTTGTGATTTGACTTCATACAATTCTGCACGTGTGTGCGCGCATTGAGGACAAAAACAGCAATACACTGATTCGGTGATCAGTGAACCACAGTCATGATTGGTAGTTGCATTGCAGCGAACCCTCCCATCCCTGAAAGATACCCATAGCGCAGACTCGTGACCAACCAAAGAAGGGAGTGATGAATGTTGGAGGATCAGGGGGAAATTTCATTCCAGACATAGGCCGCGCGGCAGATGTTTATGGAGCAGGAGCCTGCGTATCAGCCCCGACATAACCACATCATCGACAATGGCGTCCAGTCTGTCAGCGCCTAAAGCGAAGTTCTCATGAATTAGCCGCTCATCCATTCGATTGTTCATAGTTGAAAGGTTAGCCTTCCACTACGGACACCCCAACTAGGAAAGGCATTGCTTACATGGAACTGATACAATGTGTGTGAAGTTCTCTTTCGAGCCGTGTCTGCGGGGAGGCACTGCGGATGCATATGCAGATATCTATCTTCCGAAAATGCTGCCTCTGAGCCCTAGTTTAGTTATTAGTGCACTTTCTAGATCTCCCCGGACTCATACCGATCTATTAGGACTCTCCTCTTATCGGTCGGCTTCATATCCTTGGTCTCCACTCCTCCGACTGTGAGAGGATATGGTGCATTAACCCCTTCGAATCGTCTCATGGGAAGGGCTATACAGGAGTTTTGATCTACCCCATACACGAGAGCTGCCCACTCAGTTTTCCCTAAATGTAGATGGCTCCATGGCGGCGCATTTGCGGAAGTTATGACGCTTCACGTAATATTACATCTCAAACTCTTCTCTCATATTTCTTTTTACCAGTTTACAAATAACTGTGCTATGCAGCGAGATCATTGGCTCAAGCGACGTCGCTTGGCGGAATTTCAATATATTACAGAATGACGAAGCTGCCAGATCAGTGCATGCTGAGTTTCATGCCGCACACATGCGAGCGATAAGACAATACATTAAGCATGCTCCACTCTTATTAAGATTATTCTGATGGATCAGAAGCCCACCAAGCTTCCTATTCTAAAGTCCGCCGTCTTAGTAGGTTGGTAATCTTTGCAAATGATTTCCAAGCGAGTCACGGAAGGTAGTACGCATCAACCACTAAATGGACATACCTCACGATGCTCTCGCAACCACACAGGGAAAGACTGGTCCTGTCCAGCAAATTGGTGAGCCTGTCGCTCTATAAGGTAGTTGGTCAGGACAATCAGGGTTCCGTAGCTAGCAGTAAGGAATATTCTCAGTAGAAAGGTCATAGCAGGCGAGCCCTTGCTCTTCCACGCCACTGGTGCTCACCGATACCTGTGAAAATCGCTCATATACAATGTTCAATCATGAGATAGGGCGGCACATACAGATAATTGCAGGCAATGTCGAATACCGTTCGATACTTGCTGCTGGACTGATCAAGCGCATTCAACTTCATCTTGTAGCTAGAACATGATGAGTTAGGTGCGCATGCATATCTAGGCGGCTTACTCGAAGATAGCACGTCGGAGATTCTGCACGCTGTCCACACTATCGACAGCTCGATCGCAGAGCCGCTTCGCAATTTTTCCGTGTGATAAAATGCCCACTAATCTAAGGATTGTCTTATATTCGCCTTGCCATATAAAATTAGCGAGCATTCAAACGGCGAAGCAGTGAGATCATACCATTCAAGTACGCTTTTCCTTCATACCCATCGTAGCGATCATACATGGCAAGATCTGCAGCATCCTCCTGGTCATCATCGTCCACGGGATCCAGAGTTACGTCACGCGCAGCTACAGTGGCGATCAGCACCGCCGCGACCATTCCTGTCGTTGTTCGGCCGCGACTGGAAAGCGAACAAGGTTATCAATTGGGTTCTAAATGAACCTCTTGAACGTTGCATACCCCTATTACGTCTTATGCGATAAGTATCTGATTTTGGGATTGGCTTCGACGCACCATTTGGCAATTAAACACGAGATGCATTGCATTCTTCAAGGCAGCTTCTACTCTCTGAATGATTTGATCCAAGGCCTCAGGAAGCGGTGCTTGTTCATCAGTCTACAGGACATTTCAAAAGTTGAGACTAAATAAGTGGAGTGGGACTCACTATCGCTACTCGGCCATAATCGACCTATAGGTGAATTCGTAAGTCAGAATTGAACACCTAGCGAACTTGTTATCCTGACTATACCTTGTAGCTCTCACTCATAATTAGTTCGAACACGTCTCTAGGTGTCATTATTTCGTTCTCTGTAGCGGTCTCGTACAGAGGCGTGATTTCGTAATTTCCTGGGCTTCCCTCGAGTTCATCATGCAATAGAATCTTGCCCTGATTGCGTCGTAATTCGCCCTGGAC